TATATATATAGGATGTGAGCAACATAAAAGGCAATGTTTCATTTTGGATGAAAGGCTGAGCAAATAATCAAATGAAATGAGGCAAGGRTTAAATAATTTGTCAAGAGCTAATGTTTTATTGAACTGGTAAATGTGGCCTCAAGAAGGTTTTTGTGGAATTTTCCACCCTAACAGCTAAAAAAGATCTGAGGAAAGCTCAATCATGTAACTTTAACATATTTCACTGCGCGCACTGGTGTTTTTACTGCAGTAATGATGTAGTACAGCTCTGGTAATAAATAGGCGCACAGCATTTAGAAATGCCTATCGAGCCTAAAGTGGCATGAGACGTGTAATGTAGGTGTTTGAGCATGACAGCAGGGGGTCAAGGATCCTTTCCCACGTGGAGCAACTGACATGCAGCCCTGATTACCGGAGTGTAGAGCCAATGCAAACCACATACTGTGACACCTGTGTTTTATTTCCACCGGTGATGTATTTAAGCAGCTGATTGGTTTTGCGGTTGTTTTGTTGCTTGCGCTCTTTTGCCTCAGGGAACACGGCCCTGCCCTCGCACTGCTACACCCAAGCATTCATGGTCTCGGGTGGAAGTGGCACGCTTTCAATTACATGGTTGGTTTAGCTTGTTCTACAGCAATTACACATAAAAATAGGTCATTTCTCAGCTGCTAAATGGAGCTGGTGAGGTATGACCCCCCCCACTCCCCCGCGTAGAAGTGCTACATGGTCGCCAGTTGCACTGCCTCAAATTGCCTTCTGCACTTGACTGTTTGGTTTTTGATTTTGTTGGATTTGTTGCCTCTTCAGACTAGAAACAGGTAAAAAAAAGTTGTGTTAAAAAAGCTAGAGATTTTTAAAAATCACAGTTAAATTATTTACACATTAGTTTGGACTGCATCGGGGCTATTCAACTGGTGGCCCAGGGGCCACATCCGGCCCGTGCATGACCAATGTTTGGTCCGCCAATTGGTTCATTAATCTCTTAACACTTTATAGCCTAACCCTTTAAAAAATAGTCAGAAATTCGTATTTTTTTAGAACCGACATGTTTATTGGGCCTTTAAACAAAATCCATTTTTTTTGCCACATCACTTTGTTTATGATATATATTTTTTGTATCAAATCTGATACACTGGGCTGTTTTGGTAACATTTTGCTCACAACAAAGTTAAATTAAGAAACAAAAGACAGTTTTGC